GGAGATGGCATCAGTGCTGGCGGGAGGTAGAGAGATGGCATCAGTGCTGACGGGAGGTAGGGAGATGGCATCAGTGCTGGCGGGAGGTAGGGAGATGGCATCAGTGCTGGCGGGAGGTAGGGAGTTGGCGTCAGTGCTGGCGGGAGGTAGGGAGATGGTGTCAGTGCTGGCGGGAGGTAGGTATATCGTGTCAGTGCTGGCGGGAGGTAGGGAGATGGTGTCAGTGCTGGCGTGAGGTAGGTATATGGTGTCAGTGCTGGCGGGAGGTGGTAGGGAGATGGCTTCAGTGCTGGCAGGAGGCAGGGAGATGGTGTCAGTGGTGGATTTTGGGAAGAAGGTAGTAAATGGTTTTGATTGAGCCGTTAGTTTTTCCTGTAAGATCCATCCAGGTTCCTTTCCTCACTAATCTATCTCTCCTCTCCTACTGTCTCTCTTTAAGCCACTTTCTGCTCTNGCCGTTAGTTTTTCCTGTAAGATCCATCCAGGTTCCTTTCCTCACTAATCTATCTCTCCTCTCCTACTGTCTCTCTTTAAGCCACTTTCTGCTCTCTCTCTCTCTCTCTCTCTCTCTCTCTCTCTCTCTCTCAGTTTGTTAGCCCTCCTTCCCTCCATCCTGCCCAGAAGCTGACAGTTAAGTGAAGTGTCTCTCTCGCTGCTGACAGCATGAAGTCCTACTTGCTGCTTCTTCTGCTCTGTCTCTTCGCAGGATGCAAAGGTAAGCTTGAGGCCCAGTAGCCACCACAGTGTTTCCGGGGTATTTAGGAGACCAGGGAAGGGCAAGGTCTTGCTATTAACTTGTACTAGAAGTGGGGTATTTAACAGTCCAATTGCAGCCTCAGCCGAGGAAAGTGTGCAGCACTCCGAGGTGCCACACAGCCAGTGTAGGTAACTGGGTCACGGTGCCACTCTGCTGTTCTGACCCTGGCTCAATAAAAACCGCAGGGTCTGCAAGTACACAGAGATGTTTCGGTTCAGCTTCCAGACCCATTACTGCCCAGGAGGAATTGAGCCACTAATTCAGGATTTCTCCACTTGGACTCTGTTTTTGAGTGGTGACATACCCTCAAAAAAGGACAAGACAGGGAAAGAACGATGCTTATAGGGACAGACCCCAACCCCCACAGAGTGCTCTTGGGTGGAGCATAACCCTCTAAAAAACTGGCCTGTGCTGTTTTTGGAACACCAGACTGTCCCCTTTTAGAAAAACATACAATTTCACCTCACATACAGCAGCATAAGCCTCTAATTATAAACAGGGCCTGTACAGTAGGGTTCCCCAACTCCAGTCCAGGAGGGCCAGAATCCAACTCAATTTGCAGGTTTTCATGTTCAAACACATCAACTAAACATGGTAATTAACTGATTAAGATGGGTCTGAGCAGGGAAATCTGCAAACTGTCAGATTCTGCTCTTCCAGGATGAAAATCTAGGAATACGCTCCATCACTCAGAGGGCTGACGGCCGGGTCACATGGCCACCAGGTCTTCACACAGCACACACTGCCCTGCATGATGTAACATCTAACACACCAGCTGCCTATTTGTGATTAATAACCTCCTACCTTCCTCCAGGCCAGAAGAGTGAGTGTGACAGCTTCACTGACCTGAATTTCCACGAGTCCTTTATGGGGACCAATCTGTCCGTGAAGCTGCTGCTGTACACAGGAGCCAATCCAGACTGTGGTCACCAGCTGTCACATCATGACCTCACACACCAGCCACTGTTCAATTTGAGCCGGCGGACTGCCATGGTGATCCACGGGTACCGGCCCACGGGGGCCCCTCCCATCTGGGTGTCTCACATGGTGCACCTGCTGGCTGGACAGGATGACACCAACGTTGTCGTCGTGGACTGGAACCGTGGCGCCGCTAACATTAATTATTTCACCGCTGTGGCTAACAGCCGCAGTGCCGCTGCTAACATCTCCGGCTTCATTCAGAAAATGCAGGTAAAGTCAGACAGGAGAGAGCCTTGGGTGCTCCTATGGTGCCTGTGTGAGAGTATTATAGCACCTGTGTGTTTGTAGCATGACTTGCTTTCTCTTACTCTTCATGCTATAGACTGACTGAAAAATAAATGCTGCCTATACCATTCCCCTGGCTCTGTGTCTCTACATGTCTGCCTGCTGGTCACACTTTCCCTTCTGCTGGTCTCACTTTCTGCTCCACTGGTCTTATTTTCTGCTCAGTTGGTCTCAGTTTCAAAATTATATTTTGTATAGTGCATTTTCACAACATCACATTCACATCTCAAAGTGTTTTACATTATCCCTGCCCAAAGCCCCAAGTGAGCCAGAGGCGACAGTAACAAGGAAAAACTCCCTTTGCATCCTGCTGGTCTTAATTTCTGTCCAGTTGGTCTCACTTTCTCTCCTGCTTGTTTAACTTTCTGCTCTTTTGGTCTCACTTTGTCCATTTGATTTCACTTTTTATCTAGTTGGTCTCACTATCCCTCCTGCTAGTTTCATTTTATGTCCTGTTTATTTCACTTTATGTCCTACTGGTCTTACTTTCTATCCAATTAGTCTTACTTTTCCTTCTGCTGGTCTCACTTTCTGTCCATTTGATCTCACCTTTTGTCCAATTGGTCTCACTGCCCCTCCTGCTAGTTTCATTTTCTGTCCTGCTGATTTCACTTTATGTCCTGCTGGTCTTATTTTCTGTCCAGTTGGTCTCACATCTCCTCCTACTGACCTCACCATGTCTGTACCTTTGCTTTCACTTTCCCTTTTTTCTCTGCTTGCAGGAGCACGGGGCCTCTTTGAGCTCCATCCACTTAATTGGAATGAGTCTGGGGGCACACGTGGCTGGCTTTGTGGGGGCGATGCTAAAAGGCAAAATCGGCAGGATCACAGGTGAGGCTGACGTTTTCTCTTGTCTAGAGTACATCAGTATGTGTACTTATGTGTCAATCCATCCCAGGCCTAGACCCAGCAGGGCCCCTGTTCAATGGGGTACCCCCAGCAGACCGTCTGGACCCCACAGATGCCCTGTTTGTTGATGTTCTGCACACCGACATGAACAGTAGGTACCTCCTCATGATGTACTGTATGTAGAAGGTCTAAGCTCAGCCCCAGAGTGCCTGTGGCCCAAGAGGCTTAAAATATCGTCTTCTGAAGACGTGGATGGACCTGCTAATCAGTGATAGCTAATGAACTCTCCAGGAGGCAATTCCAGCAGTCTTGTTTCAGCATTTCACTGGTTTTTATATTCCTCTCCTTGCCAAATGACAGCTTTTGGAAATCATCTGGAAGCTTCTTCAGAACTGCCATAGCTGGCTCTAAAAAGATGTCCAAATTTATTATCATGCAAGAGCCCTCCTGCCTGCTGACTTGACTGAAGCACTTGTCCATTAGTCTATTTTACAATATATTATTTATTAGATTTTGGAGAGTTTAAAGGGAGTGCTGATCTAAACTACCATCTTCTGTCTTTGGAAACTGGCTTTTACTGTGCATTTAGTTTGAATTTTAGTTCCCCCAGGAAGAGAAAGGAAGTCACTGTGTTCAGAATAACAACATAATCCATGGAAGAGCCACAGCCAAAATTTCACTGGAGTTTAGCATGCTTAAACAGGTTATGTGACGCACATGAAGTTTCCAGAACCAGTGTCAGAATAGCAGCCCCTCCCATTGCCAGGGCTGCAGATGAATTACACTCATTGTCCCGCCTCTGTCATGAGAACCCAGCCTGTGATGCCCTGTAGCATCTGTCTCATCGTCATGTATCACAATGTCAATGTTCCCACAGCCCTGGGGTACAAAGAGTCCCTGGGACACATCGATTTCTACGCTAATGGGGGAGCCGACCAGCCCGGCTGTCCCAAGTCCATCTTCGCAGGTCAGCAAACAAGCATTTCTGGTTGACATCATCTCTATCATCGCTATCTGAACTGGTCCACGAACCAATGACAGGCCACTCGGGATATCAACCATTCATTGTAATATAGGAGAACTTTCCTTATTTAAAACATCAAAGATCATTAAATGAAGCACAGCCCTGACATGTGACGATGTTTTAGAACATAAAGCTGGTGCTGAAACCATTCATTCCCTCTGTCCACCCACTTTGCCATCCCTAATCTCACCCCGCAGGAAAGTCGTACTTTGTCTGTAACCACCAGAGGGCAGTCTTCCTCTTTCTCTGTGCCCTCAACAAGACATGCAGCTTCACCGCCTATCCGTGCTCCTCTTACTCCGACTTCCAGGATGGGCGGTGCCTCTCCTGTGAGCCACTGAGGCCCGCACCCTGCCCTGTCTTTGGTGAGACACCTCATGTGGGTGGTGCTGTACTACAAACTGGGGTAGTAGCGCTGTTACCCTTCCCCCCCACACCGTGGGACAGGTTGGGTTACTGCCAGAGGACAAACATAAACCAGGCCCTAAATAAAAACAAATATAACTATAACCAGGCAGAGTCATTTTCCAGTCACACTGATTCCATCCATCTGAAAGAGGGGAACAAGCCACTGTGCCATGGTGCTCTCATGGCTGACTGTACCTCCATGTCCATAGGTTATGATGTCAGAGGGTGGAGGGACATTGTGGTGCAGCAGGGCCAAACCAGGGCCTATTTCTCCACTACCGCAGAGTCACCTTACTGCAGTGAGTCTGTGACGCGCACACGGAGTCACTGCCTGTGTTTTAGCATTAGCATTATTGGCACAATCCTGATCACCAATTCTGATCATCATCACCAATTCATGCTGCAGTCTGGGTAGGGTATTGGGATCGCAATATAATGGGGGGACCTGTGCCACTGTTGCCCACCACAGAGAGCAGCTACCGTGTGGACATGGTGACCTGGAACCAGTTCACACGCTGGGGGATTGTGGTCCTCAAGTTACACAGCGGCAGGAGGGTGACAGAGACCCGCATGGACCAGTGAGCTCATCTGCCTCTGTTTCCCAGACATGCCACAGAGACAGAAGTCACAGATAGACATACAGACACAGACGGGAGTCACGGACAAACAGACAGAGAGGAGTCACAGAGAGACACAGGGGCAGGAGTCAGAGAGACACAACTGATACATCAATGCACACGTCATACACATTTATATTTTCAACACTTCAGAATCCTGTAGGCTTCAACCTGATTTTCACACCTGTGTTCTCTCTGGCCCAGTAAAGTGATCCGGTTCGAGCAGTACACAGCCACTCGCATGCTGGCCCAGTTTGACGAGGACCTGCACCCAGTCCAGAAGATCTCCATCCGCTTCATCACGGGCAACATAATTGGGCCCAAGTACAAGCTGCGGCTGCTACGGATCCGGCTCACACCGCTGGGAGAGCCCAACAGGTCAGGGTCTCAGTGCATGTGACACACGGGGCTGTCCTTTTCCCTGCATGACTGTCCCATCACCCACTGCTAAACATGCATTTCCGTGTGCCGCATGGTCTCCTCCGCAGGCTGTTGCTGTGCTGCTATGACATCATCCTGGAGGAGAACACGGAAGCATCATTCAGGCCCAGGCCATGTGAGGAGCCGGGCTTCTGAAGAGAGCAAGAATCTTACTCAAGGAAGGGTTCCTACTATCTACCAAGGGGATCTAGTACCATAAGAAGTGAACAGCCAAGCAGCGCTAATGAACAGCTCACACTGTGTAGACATCAAGACAGAAGTGTAACATGTGGATCACTGTCAGAGAGCTTCCAGATATGGGAGCAGAGCACACAGAGGTCACGTAGATGGCCTTCCTGAGGTCCGACTGGCTCTACGAAATGACTGATGGGCCACAGGGAAACTGTACCTGCAGGGGGAGGGGGTCAGACTCAGCATTCATGTCGCTGTGGGAAATCACAGATACCTCTTCATATTGGAAATGCTTTGTTAAGTTAGGACCTGAATAAAGAGTCATTTTGCTTTGATATACATGGATTATATATGTATGGATTAATTTCAGTATACGTACAGGCGGAGGGTGGCTACGTCAGCTATATACTCCATAAACACTGTTCAATCAGGCTATTGTGTCTACAGGCTGATACCATATAATCTGCATATATATCCTGTATAATCACAGGTGCACATCAGTTGGATATAAAGTGATATTTCCCGCTTTTACCTGGAGGCTCGTCACCGCCATTCCGCCCGCATAAGCGCGTAACCACATTATAAGGCGGAAAACACTTTTCCGGACGGAGCCCCCCCTTAACCCCAACCCCGACCGTAACCGTAACACTAATCCTGACCATAATCCTGTTTCCTGTTCTTTTACTTTGAACTTTTTCTCCGTTTCATGTCGCCTCAGGACTCAAAAGCAAGTGATTCAAAAGTGAGTGATTCCAGGGACTAAATCAGAAAAATGACGAAAGTGATGAAAGTTTACAGATGATTTAAAAATTAATTTTTGATTTTTATAAAGGTAATTTTGCGTGTTAGACTCACCCGCAGCACACTACAGCAGATCACCGTGGCGATGCTGCCCCCGGTGGCGGCGGTTTGTCATCGCCGGCGCCTGTTCCACTCTGGTCTTAAATCAAGCTAAAGTGCACTTAGGCTGAGTCGCCCACGATTCGGCTCTTCCTAAACTGGAGACAGTTAACTTATAATTCATCTTTGTCAGTGCAAACCCCTCCATGGAGTAACTCCATTACCGCAATAGGGTAAAAATGGACATGACTGCAAAGAAGTAGGATAAAACCATATAATCACAGGATGATTTTTGTTACATTTTTCATCTTTTATGAGGCAGTAAAAACACCAACAGTACAATGGGGATGACATAAATCAGATTTGTTCAGAGCGCTGACCTGGCTTTATAGACACAGATTAGTAACCAGTGCATTGAGACCAACATGAAATGGTCCAGGGTTTGAGCCTGTCAAGTAACCCTGGAGATGAGGAATCTCAGTTTGTGATGGACTCTCTCCTCTGCTCAAGGGGAAAGGATGGAAATCACAGAATAGCAAGAGGAAACGAGCAAGGGACAGAAGAGAGACTGCCCCCGATGCACTCTGACCACTATGACACCGTTTTCCTCTGCGTGTTGCTCTGAAATCAATGGCTCATGGATCATAGTAAAAACTGCATCAAATGTTCACTGTGCTGCCCACTTTGCACCCTGTGATCAGGGCGCCAGGCACTGCATAATGCACTGAATGCATCAGAAATACCCCAAACCCTGATGCTGGCATCAACCAAAGGATCCCAGTACCAATTAAACACTGCAAATCACTTCAAGTGCCTAAAGGTGTGTTATAATCACCACACTGATGAGTCGAACAGTTAGTATTGGCTCAGTCATGCGGGCGGTAAGCAGGCGCAGCTCAGATGAAGCGCTTGTTTTCTTCCAGGTAGTTGTAGGGGTCGCCATCGAAGGGCAGCGGCGGGGGACGATTGTAAATCCCCGTGAGGAAGATCACAACTGTCCCCACGGTCATGATCGGTGTGACCACATAAAGGCAGAGGCGGTCGATGGTCCTGGCAATGCCGCTCCAGTTGTCCTTTTCCTGGGATGGGGAATGTGGGGGTTAGTTTGTTAGATGACAATAAACATGAGGGCTTCACTGTGGCGCCTTCACTTTACAGGCAACAGGATCGAGACTGAGCCCTAAACCTCAATGCCTGACATTCACAATCAGGTGTGACTCATACACAAAACTGTTGCTTAAACTCTCTAAACAGGCTGACAACAGGAAGAAGAGTGTCCCTGTACAGCCACTGTAGCCACCCCCAGAGCCTCTCACCTCGTTGTAGTCGTTCTTCTCGTGCATGTGCTTGACAATATAATTGGCCCCATCCACAGCTGGCTTCATCTCTGAGAAGAGTTGGTCACTGGCTTCATCCTCATCGCTCGCCTTGTGCACTGCGACGAAGAGCAAAGACACAACGTCAGGTCCGAGGATCTGCAGGCTGACCGCCCCCCGGAGCAGACATCGCTAGGTATCATTAGATATGACTAGGAACATGTTTCATACTGGAACAGCCAATTCATCCTGAAGATGTGGTCAACCTTAAAAAAGCAGCTCCACTTGTCAGTTGGACACAGCAAGAAATTCTGGGCCCTATGACAACACGTCACCTTGGGCCTCCATGGTAACATCTGGGTCCTCCACAGTACAATTTGCCAAGTGGGGGGAACACATACATTTTTTTCCCGTAATCAGAAGTCCTTATGAAGTGTGGGCCCCCCTTAATCTGACACCCCTGATATCACCCCTACTGCTGTTATAAATAAATACAGTCTTCAGTATGCTGACCCAGTATATCCATATAGAGACTTATGCAGCATCTGTTATATGCTTCTTCTTAACAGACCAGCTCTCTGTGGTGCAGCTCTCTTGCCCATAGTGACCTGTAGAGGGAGCCCTGGATGAGGCTCACCAGCAGCGGCCGTGGCGCGGGGGGCCAGGCCGTGCCTCTCCGACTGCTTCTCGAACATCAGCTCACTGCGTGACTTGACGCTGTAGTACTCCTCCGCCTTGGCAATGTAACCCACTGAGCTGGAGCGGCGTGCCAGCGCCCCCCCATGGCCGGGCTCGCTATCCGCAGGCCGCGACATGCGCAGGAAGCGGGGCAGCCTCTCCAGGAAGAACTAGGGGGGGACAGGCCTCGTTACATCACTGGACGTTCCAGGCAGCTGGGTAGCATCTCCATCAGAGCTGCACTTTAACAGCATGCTGGCCTCTTCTGAGGTTTGACTGTTTCTGTAGCATGCTGGCGGATTTGGCTTCCAGCCTCTTTTCAAAGTAATTATCTGAATAAAAATACACTAAATACAACCACTCCTCGTTTAGCGGCGACCTCGGTTGGTGACCACTCACAAATGCGATGGTAATAAAAAATTCATCTTCTGACCATTGCATGCATTTAGGACCAAATTCTTCTAAATGAAGGCTACAAGAAACGAAGTATGGATGGCTGAGGAAACATCGTGAGCATGGTCAAGGTCACGCCCAGGCGACTGTGGTTTTCACCTAGTGACCTTCACCTATTTTACTTTATAACCTGGTCGTTTGAACGGAACTCAGTTGCTAATGGAGGTTGCAGTTATCAATATAACCTTTAAGCTTCTTTACTATAGAGCATGGGCATAAATGACGGGGGAATAGGGGGTTCTAACTCCCCCAATAGATCAAAACCAGCTAATACATCCCCACCCCCACCCCCCCACCCCTAAATGGATGGAGACCTCAACCCCCCCAATAGTCAAACCAAAGTTACCCCCTTGCTATAGAGGACCATCTTCATCTTGCCTTAATTCTGTGCTGTTAGGTGCGGATGCATTTGTCTGTGGGCCCCAGGCTGACATCAGTATGGACACTCAGGTGTTGCCCATTTTAACCAACTTTTCTATTTTCCCCAAGACGGGACAGGGCCCTGATGTTTGCCAGGGTCAGGGTTATAGCCTAGGACAGCCTAGGCATTAATCCGCCCCTGTGTACCATCATCTTTCGGAAGTCCTGTCTGTTTGAGGTCAGGTTTTGGACGCTAATTTTCCTGCGGTATTTCCCCAAACCAGCTCATTTGCACATTTCATAGAAATTTCCCAGCAATCGCATGGGCATCCTGTGGCTCTCAGCATGATAATATGCAAAGCGTTTTCCTTTCTGACATATGGCTGTACTCTAGGGCGCCCCCTCCCCCCCCGCCCCCACCTCCTTGGTCCACTCTGACATGACGTGGGTGCTGGGGGTGCGGAAGTGCAGGTTGAGCACGACAACGCAGTTGAGCACCACCACAGTGACGAGCACCATGATGAACATCAAGTACCTGGGGGAGGGAGAGGCAGACAGGAAATCAGTTACCACCTGACCAGGGATTCCGGAGAACCTGGGACCATGTTGAACTGTACGAGGCAGATATGACCTACCAGGCTGTCATGTTTATTAATGAGCCTCTGACCCAAATGTACCCCCCCCCATCCCAAACATGCCCCCGACGCCCATGGCAGTTACTTGACAAAGAGCGGGATGGCCATGGATGTCTCAGGCAGCCTCTGCGATATTAGCAGCAGGAACACAGACTGCGCCAGAAGCACGGAGATAGACAGAGTCATCTTCTCCCCACCTGTAGGGGGCAAGAGAGTATCGAAGCACACCATGAACTGTTTCACCCACACCCAGATACAAACTGCTAGAAGCTGTTCTACTGAAATGGTGCAACACATGTACACAAGGATATGTTTACATTTTTGTGGGGACTCTTATTACATCTTGGTTAAAAAACACCCAACCACAGGCCAACAAAAAACAAATTTATCCATGGACATACACACACTTATAGATACAGACTGTCACACACTTAATCATAATGTTCCGTTACATGTTTGTTATTGTATTATTATTATTATTGAATTTGTGTTTTTTCTGAGCTCCTGTAAAATTTTCTGCGATGCATGCATGACAGAGATCCAGTGGTTGGCGCTCTCACTGTCGGCCGGCAGGTAGTACACGAGCGAGGCCATGAAGGAGATGAGCACGCAGGGAATGATGATGTTGATGATGTAGAAGAGTGGCTTGCGCCGGATGATGAGGTAGAAGGTGATGTCCTGGTGCTTGTTGCTGTCCATGGGGATGTTCTTGTACGTGTTCTTCTTGGCTGGCTTGTGCACGATCTCCCACTCCCCGTTTTCTGCGGCACAGCAACATTAGGCCCACATCAGTACTAAGTGTGGATTTCAGAGTATGAATTACAGTGAACTGTAAGCAGAAGCCAGGAGAGGAGCAGGGAAAGGTACAAACTCACACAGATTCCATCACCCCTGCAGAGGCGGAGAGCCATCAGGCTACCAAGCTAAACACGCCGAGGGCCATTTTCACAGCTCAGCTGACATTTGAAGCTCAGGATGGATTCAGCTTTCAGGTTAATTAGCATCAGGAGGAACATCAATAACTAAGAGTTGTGATGGAGTGATAGAGGAGGACATGGGAATGCTGCTATGTGTATGGGTGGGGCCAATGGCAACGCAGTCTATCCTGTGTATGAGTGGGGCCAATGGCAACACAGTCTGTCCTGTATATGGACAGGGTCAATAGCAACGCAGTCTATCCTGTGTATGGATGGAGCCAATGGCAACACAGTCTGTCCTGTATATGGACAGGGTCAATAGCAATGCAGTCTATCCTGTGTATGGATGGGGCCAATGGCAATGCAGTCTATCCTGTGTATGGATGGGGCCAATGGCAACGCAGTC